GAGCACCTTTCACTCAGACCACTTTATAGAACATGTTTCATTCACACAAGCACGTTCCACATCTAAGTGAATGCACACAGCGTGCATTCATACTCCAACGAATCCGTCGGGATCAGTTCAGGGTTCAGTAAATTGCCCAAGGGTACTTCAGCATGCCGACTAGGGCAGCCAGGATTTAAAATACCAGCCTTTCAATTAGTACACCTGCACTATCTCACTGTGCTATGCTGAACCCCTCAATTATCAGCTGCTCCACTCTTGGAAACACTTCTCTTCTTCATTAATGCCAAAGATGATTATTAAATGTTGCATTTAGAAGCAAACTTTATCATTTCATTTACTCGGATATTAAGGATGTTAAGAATGTGCATTTTATATTACTCGAGTAGCGGCCATCATCTACAAAACATTATGCATCACTTTAATACACATCCCAAAAAATTAATTACATTTTTTAAAAGACCTGCAGGATGGTGAGAACATAATGTTTAGCTGATTTACTGAAAACAGGAACTTCCAGCTAGCAGCACAGGCTGCAGGTATAGTTCAAATCCTTTGAAATCTTCTATGAATGTTCAAATGAGTAAAATCTTGATTTTTAAATGTTCTGTGGTTGTAGTCGTAATTTGCATTATCAGCCCCACATGGGCATCGCAGTATTAGGCAGTAAGAAATTGAGGATGCAAGTCTGCAGTTTTGGTTTCAGGATGTGTACACGCTGCACGACGCGTGTGCACACGTGTGTGTCTTTTGTTGCTGTGTGAGAAGTGTTGGGGGTTAAAAGGCTAAACGGCATGGATCATTGTTCTCGGTAAAAGGCTCCTTTGACGAACCCCACAGGGACGAGTCCACATACACTCACTGACAAAAGGCAGCAGCACACTGAATCCTATTAAGAGCCACACGGACTGGAGTGAAGTGTGTGTGTGTGTGTGTGTGTGTGTGTGTGTGTGTGTGTGTGTGTGTGTGTGTGTGCAAATGCAGATGAAAGCGACCAATCGGCTGGCCTCTTGTGTTTAAATTGGTGCTACTTGCCAGTAATTTTACAGCAGGTGCCCTGATCACAAGCGTAACCCGTTGCACAAAAACACACACGCATGCGGTAATGCTGTCCAGATGCAGAGACAAAATGTCCTCCATAGCTTAACGATAATATCTCAGGCTACAGATTTTTGGGACGCGCTTATCTCACTGAGAGTAAAGCCTCCAGATACGTACAGAGACACTGGCCATTTTGCATCTCACAGCGGATTCAAAGAAGTGCCATTTTCTTTGCTGGCTTTATTGCTGCAGTGGTACAAAATCATTTGAGCAGCACATGCATGCTGACAGTGGCGAGGAGGAGGAGGAGAGACAGCAGAAGGAAAGATGAGTGGAAACAGAGATGGAGGAGGGAGGGATGTTCCACCTCATCCATTCCCACTCATGCATTTCACAAAACACCCTAACACTATTCTTCATCACACTGCAAACACATACTTCAAGTCTGTAACAGACCTTTCCTGGTACACAGAGCAGCACTGATCCACCATTTTAGGCAGATGCATTTGGGCTCAGTTCTTCTACACAGACTGGATGTGACGATGTGCTGTGATGTCCTGAAACCTCTGGACAAGCTGCTGAGATAGCGTGTATTTGTTCCTCAATAGAACGTCTCTTTGCTTCTCTGTACTCGTGTGTTTATTCCTTTGGCATGAAATGAAACATGAAATTACAGATGAGATTAAGAGATGGTCAAATGATCATTGTTCAGCTTTTTTAGACAGTAATAATGTTTTTTGATAATTCTAACAGACATGAAAATCGTGCCATGAAAATCTCATATGACGACAACCTAACAATCCATCATATGTACCAAGGTACTGGCAAAATGTGCAGAATCTCTATTAGAAGTCGACTAAAATAAGTCTATCATTTCATCTTTTTAAGGTGGAAATTGTAATTAGTTTGACTGAAAACATTGTTGGGTTTTGGGTTTTTTTTGTTTGTTTGTTTGTTTGTTTGTTTTTTGTTTTATATTTTTATTCATACAATTATCGTACAATTCAACGTATCAACAGAGGAACGTCGTGGAAACCAAATATATTCATTATTAAATTCTAACCCTAAAACCTTCAGCATGAAATGAGTCAACGTTTAGTCTCATTTTCTTTGCTGACCTGTTAAAAGCTTCCATATTTTATTACTGCAGATTGTTCGTTTTTAAATAAACTACAAGTTCATTAAATTAAATAACAGCAACATAAAAAGAAAGCTAAGCTGAGGGACGGTGTGTGTGTGTGTTTGTGGAGCAAAGGAAGGGAGAGAGCGGGAGGGGGGTGTATTTGGCAGCGGTTGCGCGTGGGCACCGTGTTGTTATCCAGCTTCTCAGCAGGCAGGACACGCCTTCCCTGGGCTCCGTGATTTCTGCTGCAGCACCCTTCACGGCATTACATCACCCAGTCAGAGAGCACCCAGCACCCCACAAACTCCCACAGCCTCGTGCACGTGTGCTCAACGACACCACAGACGCCTATACTTTACCAACGGCAGTACACGCAACACGCGAGCGCACGCGTACAGCATACACTCCATAAGTCTAATCACGAGTGTGCACGTTCGAATAAAAAGAATAAACGACTGCACGTGTACGCTACAGCCAAAGCACGGATATACACCTCTCAGCCACACACACACCGCCACCACCCGTTTACGTAACACCAGACAGCCTAATAGCTGAGGACTTTTTTCATTTGATTGAAGGTATTTTAATCACCTTATATTTCTCATGTTATCCAAAAACTCGGTTATTGAATTGCCCATCATTAAGCCTAAAACCTTCATCAGAAATAACTTGTATTTTCAGGCTGACACATACAATTTTAAATGATCAGTTGTTCACAAAATTTAGATTTTTTATGGCCCAACTATGACACACTCACAACGAAAAAATGCAGAAAACGACCAAACTAAAGAAAAGAGCATTCTCCAGAATGCTGCGTATTATTTGACTCTCCCCGCCCAGTGGGATTAGTGGTACCTTGAGAGCCCTTGGCTTTTTACACTTGATTTGTCAGCGTAGTTAATCGGCTGCCAACCACGGGGGAAAAGGGACAGCCAAATTACCCGAATCACCCCCACCCTCCACACTACCACCACCACCCTAACCTTAAATTAGGATGAAGGGAAATTAAAGGGGTGTTTTATATTTCTGCATCAAACACGCGTCGTATTCTGAGGCGTTTTTCAGTATATATCAACCCAACACTGGATCACATGTTAATAATGAACACACATTTACAATCAGATTTAACACAACCTGCCGAGAAATATTTAAAAAATAATCAAACGAAAGATTTTTGTTTTCTTTCTAGGACTGTCAGCCTCGGAGAATATTAGCCATTTAAAGTGTAGGTGATGAGACATCATTGGGCCCTTTGCAGGGGAAACAGACGCATTCTCTAGGTTTGGGTTACGCCCATCCACAGAAGCGTTAAAAAATCCAGATTAGGAATTCCCCGTGCATAAAAGCACAAAAAAAAAATCTAATCCTATTAACTCTACAAATCCGACACATCGAAATATGCACTGCAGCGGCGAAGAAAAAAATATCTAATTGCCATCCGCCTGAACTCATTTTCACTCTTGTTCATGGGTTCGAAGTAGAGCTGATGTTAGACGGCGTCAGATCGAGGCCTTGATTGTTATTTTGCGGCAGACGGTGGATTCTTATACAAGCGCGGGGCCTTTTGTTTTTCTCCTGTGGAAAACAGTCAGATTTGATGTAAATGAGACATCCTGCATTTGCCGCAGTGTAAAAAAATGGTGTAAAAGGGGGGAAACACTGTCCAATTAAAATGACATTTTATTTATTTATTTATTTATTTTGTTGTTGTTGTTAAATGAATTCGAGCTGATCTTATAATCGGGCCCAGTTAAAACAGGCCCCTTCAGCAAATGTGGAGTGATGCAGATGAAAAAAAGTTGTAAGCTTATTGTGCGCCATGAAAGGCAGTTTACTGAGAGGAGCAGAGCAGTCAGCAAACCTCCCTGCTGTTACTGCGGACGCCATTTGATCCACAGGGGAAAAACCAAAATCCAAAAACTCCTTTTACGGAAATGAAATTTTCCTCACATATAATCGCTATGCTCCATTTCAGCGGAGCACGTTCGTTTTCCAAGCAAATGCTAAAACTGAACCGGCTATTATTGATCTTGATAGAGTAATGTGAAGGCTTTTAAAGAATTCCGTTGAGTTGCGCTTAGCTTTAAAAAAAAATCAGAAAAATGGGGGATGATTGAGGAATGTGGTGGTTATTTCATGGCGAGGAAGCGTGCAGCCTGCCTCCGCGCGCTGTCCGTCTCCGGAAGGTCATGAATCAAACTGTTCAAATGACACGAAATGACATGAAGCTAAATGTAAAGATTGTAGGCTGGGTTTGTGGGGCCTAAAGGGCGTCGCAGTGTGTTTGACATTCCAGCATAAAAGCTGCAGACAAGAACAATGCGCGGACACTGGACACCTGGCGTTCACCTCATCTATTATTCATCATTTTAAAAACGAGTTCTGCAGGTTTCCCTCAAAGCCCCGTTTTTCATATTCAACACGAGCATGTTTATTTGTGTATGTGTGAAATATAATGAAACAAAAATTGAGCATTTCTGTTGTAAACACCGAGAGAGCGGGGGGGGGGGTGTAATTCTACACCCGCCAGTCACTGTGCGTCTGTTCCATCAGACCAATTTAGAAGACAACATGGCAGAAATTCTCATTTTCAGCCCCTCAGACGCGACTTTTCCTTCAAGGAGACTCGGCACATTCGCCGTTTCGGTGCGTAAAAATTGTGAGTGAAGGGGAAACTCCCGTAAAAGTGGCTAGTCCCGTGGTACCTGTCCGTCAGGAGTGGAAACTCGATCCGCCTCTGCCCCATATTTTCCCTGGAACATGCTCCTGTCTCAGTTCAAGTCATACGTGGATAAATGATATGGACAGACTAGACTACACAGACGACGTTACTGACCTTAGTTAAACAGACAGCCAAGAGTATCCAACTGCTAAAATCCAACTCCACAGAGATCTTTTTTCCTCTTCTAGTCCAGACTTGTGTTGTTTTTTTTTAAGCAGCAGTGTTTCCGGCGCCGGTGGTGCTGATGTAGAGACGGTACAGTGACAGCTTTATCCTTCCTTACAGGTGCGACGACCACGGTGCATCATGGGCACAAAAGCCGCTGTTAGCTCGGTGCCACTTGCAGCGGCTGCAGGCGAAAGGCGCACACGCGCGCGCCACCCAGGTCCGCCCTCTCCTCAGCACCAGTACACGCCATTTAAAGGCATACTGGTTAATAACGGCCCGCTCTTTCGCACTCACACACCTCTAAATATGGTCTTTTGCGCTTTAGGCTGGTAATAGGCTTTGTCAGGAGGTGTGGTGCTTCACTTTATCACCGTGGGTCAGCAGCATACCAGATCTTTCGGGCTTCACATGTGGAGAAGAGCATGATGTAAGGTGTAGCTGCACTCAGCCATTGATTTGTGCTGTGTTTACAGTGTAATCGATATTACTGATAACCTGACTGATTATGCATTACATTGTTTTTGTTTTAACCATAATTGAAGAATATGTGACAAAAAAAGTTTTCTTTAAATTACCTTTTTTTTAATAACTCCCTTTATTGTGGCCTTTCTCTGTAGCTGAGATAAGAAGATCTTCACTAAAGAGAAGCTTTATTAGAGGAGGAGCCTGTCAGCAGCAGGCTAACAGTGCTGCTATCCAAGGTGCTGAAATGCCCGCAGACACCTCATAAAATGTTTCACCTTTATTATCTTTTGCAGTGCTCACTGAGGAAAATTAATTCATCACCTGTATAATAACATGCTTCAGATTATTGGGTAGTACATATATTTGGTGAGAGAAAACACACGTTTAACAAAATTTGTGTTCCTGTTAAGACTCATGAAGGACATCCAACACTGTCAGTGCAGCAAACAGACCCACTGTTTATAATTTACTTTCTTCATCTTACTACAAGGATAAAATGACTTTGACATTTATGTAAAATACTAAAATGTGATCAGAAATAAAAAGCAAACCATCCAAAAATGAGTTGAACAGCAAGTTCTAATCATTTCAACTGTGGGAAGACCTGCCCGCAAAAGCCTTATTGTTAGATGAATAGATTTGAATAAACAGAGGTAGGCATGACATGGACATTTGTTTAATCTCCCTGTGTAACCGCCTCCACACACACACACACACACACACACACACACACACACACTTTTACCAACTCTTTACTGCTAACCACAGACGATCTCAGGCGAGCATTCAGACACACACACACACACACACACACACACACACACACACACACACACACACACACACACACACACA